CAGACCTAACAGACATTTACAGGACACTCCACCCCAAATCCACAGAATACACATTCTTCTCAGTACCACATCACACTTACTCTAAAAGTGACCGCGTAATTGGAAGTAAATCACTCCTCAGCAAATGCAAAAGAACGGAAATCATAAGAAACAGTCTCTCAGACCACAGTGCAATCAAATTAGAACTCAGGATTAAGAAAAGCATTCAAAACCGCATAATCACATGGAAAATGAACAACTTGCTCCTGAATGATTAATGGATAAACAATTAAATGAAGGCAGAAATAAAAATGTTCTTCAAAACCAACGAGAATGAAGACACAATGTACCAGAATCTATGGGACACATTTAAAGCAGTGTCTAGAGGGAAATTTATAGCAATAAATGCCCACATGTGAAACAAGGAAAGATCTAAAATCGATACCCTATCATCAAAATTGAAAGAGCTAGAGGAGCAAGATTTAAAAAAACTCAAAAGCAAACAGAAAACAAGAAAAACTAAGATCAGAGCAAAACTGAAGAAGATAGAGACACAAAAAACCCTTCAAAAAAATCAATAAATCCAGGAGCTGGTTTTTTGAAAAGATCAACAAAATAGACAGACTGCTAGCTAGACTAATAAAAAAGAAAAGAGAGAAGAATCGAATAGATGCAATAAAAAACGAAAAAGGGGAGATCACCACCAATTACTCGGAAATACAAACTACTATCAGAGATTACTACAAACAGCTCAATGCACATAAACCAGTAAATCTGGAAGAAATGGATACATTCCTGGACACTCGCACACTCCCAAGACTAAGCCAGAAAGAAGTTGAAACCCTGAATAGACCAATAACAAGGTCTGAAGTCGAGACAGCAATTAATAGCCTACCAACCAAAAAAAGTCCAAGTCCAGACGGGTTCACAGCCAAATTCTACCAGACATACAAAGAGGAGCTGGTACCATTCCTGCTGAAACTATTCCAAACAATACATAAAGAGGGAGTCCTCCCTAATTCTTTCTATGAGACCAGCATTATCCTGGTACCAAAACCTGGCAGAGACAAAACTAAAAAAGAAAACTACAGGCCAATATCCATGATGAACGTCGATGCAAAAATCTTCAATAAAATACTGGCAAACCAAATCCAACAGCACATCAAAAAGCTTATCCACCATGATCAAGTAGGCTTCATCCCTGGGATGCAAAGCTGGTCCAACATAAGCAAATTTATGAATGCAATCCATCCCACATAAACAGAACCAAAGACAAAAACCACATGATTATCTCAATAGATGCACAGAAGGCCTTCAACAAAATTCAACGGCCCTTTATGCTAAAAACTCTCAATAAACTAGGTATCAATGGAACATATCTCAAAATAATAAAAGCTATTTACAACAAACTCACAGCCAATATCATACTGAATGGGCAAAAACTAGGATTCCCTTTAAAAACTGGCACTAGACAAGGATGCCCTCTCTCACCACTCCTATTCAGTATAGTATTAGAAGTTTTCGCCAGAGCAATTAGGCAAGAAAAAGAAATAAAGTGTATTCAATTAGGAAAAGAAGAAATCAAATTGTCCCTATTTGCAGACGACATGATTGTATATTTAGAAGACCCCATTATCTCAGCCCAAAACCTCCTCAAGCTAATAAGCAACTTTGGCAAAGTCTCAGGATAAAAAATCAATGTGCAGAAATCACAAGCATTCCTATACACAAACAACAGACAAACAGAGACCCAAATCATGAATGAACTCACATTTACAATTGCTACAAAGAGAATAAAATACCTAGGAACACAACTAACAAAGGATGTAAAAGATCTCTTCAAGGACAACTACAAACCACTGATCAAGGAAATAAGAGAGGACACATTCCATGCCCATGGTTAGGAAGAATCAATACTGTGAAAATGGCCATACTACCCAAAGTAATTTATAGATTCGATGCTATCCCCATCAAGCTACTACTGACCTTCTTCACAGATCTTGAAAAAAACCACTTTAAACTTCATATGGAACCAAAGGAAAGTCCACATAGCCAAGACAATCCTAACCAAAAAGAACAAAGCTGGAGGCATCATGCTGTCTGACTTCAAACTAAACTACAAGGCTACAGTAATCAAAACAGCATGGTACTGGGACCAAAACAAAGATATAGACCAAGGGAACAGAACAGAGGCCTTAGAAATAACAGCACACATCTACAACCATCTGATCTTTGACAAACTGGAAAAATGCAATGGGGGAAGGATTCCCTGTTTAATAAATGATGTTGGGAAAACTGGCTAGCCATATGCAGGGAGCTGAAACTGGACACCTTCCTTACACCTTATACAAAAATTAACTCCAGATGGATTAAAGATTTAAACATAAGAACTAACACCATAAAAATCCTAGAAGAAAACCTAGGCAACACCATTCAGGACATAGGCACAGGCAAGGATTTCATGACTAAAACACCAAAAGCAAAGGCAGCAAAAGCCAAAATAGACAAATGGGATCTAATTAAACTTAAGAGCTTCTGCACAGCAAAAAAAATAATCATTAGAGTGAACCAGCAACCAACAGAATGGGAAAAAATTTTTGCAATCTACCCATCTGACGAAGGGCTAATATCCAGAATCTGCAAAGAACTAAAGCAGATTTACAAGAAAAAAACAAACAAACACATTCAATAGTGGGTGAAGGATATGAACAGACACTTTTCAAAAGACATTTATACAGCCAACAAACATATGAAAAAGTGCTCATCATCACTGGTCATTAGAGAAATGCAAATAAAAACTACATTGAGATACCATCTCATGACAGTTAGAATGGCAATCATTAAAAAATCTGCAGACAACAGATGCTGGAGAGGATGTGGAGAAAAAGGAACACTTTTACACTGTTGGTGGTAGTGTAAATTAATTTAACCCATATGGAAGACAGTGTGGTGATTCCTCAAGGACCTAAAAATAGAAATTCCATTTGACCCAGCAATCCCATTACTGGGTATATACCCAAAGGATTATAAATTGTTCTATTATAAAGACACATGCACACATATGTTCATCGTGGTGCTGTTTAGTAAAGACCTGGAATCAATCCAAAGGCCCATCAATGATAGACTGGAGAAAGAATATGTGGCACATATACACCATGGAATACTATGCAGCCAGAAAAAATGATGAGTTCATGTCCTTTGTAGAGACATAGATGAATCTAGAAATCATGATTCTCAGCAAACTGACACAAGAACAGAAAACCAAACACTGAATGTTTTCAGTCATAGGTGGGTGATAAACAGTGAGAACACTTGGGCACAGGGACGGGAACAACACTCACTGGGCTAGGTGGGGAGGTGGAGGGGAGGGGAGGGACAGAGAGGGGTGGGGCAGACAGAGAGGGATAACACTGGGAGAAATGCCTGATGTAGGGGATGGAGGGTGAGGGATATGGCATGTATGTACTTATGCAACAATCCTGCAGGATTCAGGATCTGCACATGTACCCCAGAACATAAAGTACAATAAAAAAAAAAAAAGATATGCACAACACATTCACAGGAGCACTATTAGTATATGCCCAAACAGGAGACTATCTAAATATTCAGCAACTATAAAATAGGCATACAGTTGAAGAGCATTAGAACAAAGAGAATGCAAAAAATACTGTATACAATATTGTAGATTTCACAAATATAATCAGCAAAACAAGCTAGACACACACAAAAAATATTCACTGGATGATTCTAGTCACAAAAACAAACTAAACAAAGGCATCACAAGGCAAGATATTGGTTGCTTCTGGAGCATGAGGGGAGGAGGGCTCTGGGCTGCTGTTAATTTTCTATTAATCAAGGTGCTGATTGCAGAGGTGTGTCCACTTTGTGACATTAATTCCATCAAACCATCCACTTACTGATGTGTGCACTTTCCTCCATGCATACGGTCCTTCAGCAAAGAGCTGAGATGGACCCTTGGGAGCAACTGGTCCATCCGTGCCCCCTTGGTTGGCATAAGATCAACTGTTTCCCATGGAGCTTAGATAGCTCATAGACACGGAGGAAATTCATGAAAGGAATGGAACCAGACATCAGATCTCTTAACTCCCCACAAAGGTACCATAGCTGTGTGAGAGGATGTTTCCCTAACTTCCTTGCTTTTGTGACTCCAGCCAAGGTTTAGAAGGATGAGAGTCACATTCCTATTATGAACACAATCCAGGAGGTTCCAATGTCTTATTGACATCCATGCCAGGAAGAGCATCTAAACACACTTTAGGATATGGCAAATCAGAGAAAGTCAGACAGCTCTACATTCACACTCACTAGGTGACCGTCAGCACACTCCTTACCTCTCTTGTACCCTCATCTAGATCACTGAAGTGTTAACTCTTACCCTGCATGGGTGCCATGAGGATAAGGTAATAAGTAGTGTCAGGGCTGTGCCTGGTACACAGCAAGCATTCAGAAAAACTATTTGTAGAATGAATATGGAATTGAATTAATCAAATGCTTGTTACTTGGTAGAAGCTCAGTAAATAGTGGTTTTTTTTCTTGAGCAGGGGAATTGGGAGAAAGTGGGTAAATATGTTTGTGAGAAACCATCATCTCATATTGTAAGCCTACTGGGTTATTAATGGGTCAACCAGCAATTCTCACTGGGGTAGATAAAGGGGTAAAAATGGTCTGTGAGGTGAAGAGTGATGAAGGACTCGAGAAGAGGGCTGTGCTTTTTATTTCATGTGCTACCAGGTCTGTGTTTTCCTTCTCAGTGCCAAATGAAGACTGGCTCATCGCCTGCCACACCACATCTTACTCCGACAGCCACCTATGTTAGTCATACTACCCTTAAAATTTACAAGTTTTAAATGGGGGAGTGGATACAAACACTCCTAAACTTAATAAGTAGACTCACTAGAGTCAAGTAACTTTACTGCTGGAAAAAAATTCACACACACTGAGAAGTAATTGCTGGCCTTAGAGGTCTGAAATGAACCATGGCCAGAAGTGAGTTCACTTACGTTTTTAAAAAGCAGGTTTAATACTAATTTTTTTTTTTCAGTTCTTCAAATCTTGGATGTACTTAGCGAACTGATCCACAAGTTCTTTGATACTGAAAAGAAACAAATACAAAAACTACAAGTTAAAACTTATTTCAAATTATAGCACACCAGAAAAAAAAAAGCGACAAATGGCTGATTATATAAAGAACATCAAACTAGATAACATGAGTGTAATTAAAAACAACATGTGCTAAGGACTTCCTTCCATCCATCCTTTCTCACCTATCCTCCTTCTTCCTTCTTCCCAATCCAGCACTCCACCCTTCTCGTCTTCCCTTCCTCAGTCACTGGACCTCAAATATTCCCTAATGACTGATGTTTCTACTGAAACCACTGTCATTAATTTTTATAGCACACAGTACTAGTAGCACATGGTAAGTACTCTATGAATGTTTGTTGAGTAAATGAATGGACCATAGTTTTACAATATTTTGTCATTAAGGTTGAAAACAATAGGAAATATCCACAATTATTTTATTGTCCAACAGGAACAAGTTGTAGACAATATGTAGAAATACATACACTGCTTTTCAGACTTGTGCTTCTGATTCTCTTATCTCTTTTAAACAACTAATACTTAGGGGGAAATCCCCATTAGTATATATGGGCACATACATCCTTACCAGGATACAAAAATAAAATAAAATATATTTTTGAACTAAAAGAATATGTAAGAACAATAAAAGTTCCTTTTGAGAAGCCCTCTCTTCAAATGTCTCAGAACCACCTCCATCCAAAGGAGAAACCAAGATGTCTCCAGGTTAAATACAAGAGATATTCCCACACGTTTCACAAATGCATACATAGTCAAGGCCAGTCCTACACAAAATTATGATGTATGGATGTGGCTGTTTCCTTCCTCTATCTGTCCTTTTGAAAATTCATTAATTCAAGATTTTTAATCAAGTAGGGGAGCGAAAGGATCAGCTCCAAGGTTGCAACAACTTAACAGATATCCTTCATGAGGACATTTTTATTTTAAAAACGCTTCAGAAAAGGCAAGTGCTTAACAGGGAAATAAAATGCATTACTGACTATGGAATTTCAGGAATGAATGGAGGTGTGGATTGTTATCATGGAATTTCTCAACACCCCATCAAATTGCATCAGGTAAACATCTGTCCAATTTGCTTTCTCCTACAGCTGGCTTCATATATGGCTCATATATACACACCAATCCCAGCAAATTTTAAGCAATTTTGGATATATACATAGGCAAGCTCAATTTTAAGACTAGGATGCGGCCAGACGCAGTGGCTCACACCTGTAATCCCAGCACTTTGAGAGACCAAGGCGGGTGGATCACGAGGTCAGCAGTTCAAGACCCGCCTGACCAACATAGTGAAACTGCATCTCTACTAAAAATACAAAAATTAGCTGGGTGTGGTGGTGCACCTGCAATCCCAGCTACTCAGGAGGCTGAGGCAGGAGAGTCGCTTGAACCCAGGAGGCAGAGGTTGCAGTGAGCCGAAATAGCACCACTGCACTCTAGCCTTGTTGACAGTGTGAGACTCTATCTCTAAATAAATAAGTCAGTCAGTAAGTCAGTCAGTCTAGGATGTGCTCTGAAAGTAAACAGTTCTATTAATGAGCAGTTTTCAAAGTGAACTCCTAGGAATCCCATGCTAAGTTGCTTCTGAGAGCAGAAACAGAGGTGAGTGGATGTGCAGCTGTGGGCAGAGCGATTTCACTTTCATCTGTTTCATACTTAGACCCAAGATTTAGTTGGAGAAGTGGTTCCCTGAGCTGCTTATGAAAGAGCTGAAACAATCAATGTAACCAAGTGATAATTAGATTAAAAGCTAGTGCAGAAAATCCCAGTCAGTCTACAATACAGCTGATCTAACACCAAAATCCAACCACCACCTGTCACAGGGCCTTTATGGTAAAATAGGAGTCCTCGCCTGAGTCCCAGGGCAGAAGTCAGCCTGGGTCTGGGCAGACAGGAGCTAAGCCTTCTCTTCTTCCCTACTCAGCCCCCTCATCTCCTGCCTTGGAACATCATGAGCAGAAGGAAGGGCACCTACTCTTCCATGAGGACTGAGCCAACAGCAAGAGGACAAGATTAGGGTGTGGGGGGACCTATAGATATTCACAAGATAGAGAAGTAGAGGTCTCCAGGAGTGAACAAAACACAGGGGTTTCTGCAAGTCAGTCATTTCCCAGGCCCTGCCAGGATTTCCACCAGCCTCTTTGCTGGAATTCCATGTGCAAGGTTTACATGCTTTACCTGGGTCAGGGCTTTTAGCTAGGAATGAGAAAGGAGAAAATTAATACAATAGTTTAAAAAGAAAAAAAAATCCTATGTTCTATGAAATCCAATTCAAAACAATATATAAAATAGAAAAAAGGCAGGGGAGGGGGAATAGGGGGAGCATTATGAGAAAGTAAGCATTGCCTGAATGTGCTCCAGAGAAATTCACAGTAACTAACAGGCAATGAGCATATTCAACCCCTCCCTCGGCACAGAGCTCCAATTATTTGGCCCAACCGGGACTGAATACCCAAAAACATTTATAAACATGAACCATTATATTTTTTGAGTTTTCATCATAGGCCTTGTTTAAGAAAGTCAAAGATGCCCTTTGTTCTACAGTTTTGATCAAATGCAAAGAGACTTTAGTCATTTCCTCCGAAACAGACTTAAGCTATAAATACTAACTAACCAACATAGCCACTCACAAAAAGGCTCAATGACAACTTTAGTTTGAAAACAAGAACACATTATCGAACTGAAAAGCCGTAAGAAAAAGTCCAAACCCATGCAAACAACATTCCTAGAAGAAAAACCCTTAGTGTAATGACAAGCGTAATCACAAATAGCTTTTTATTTGACTCACAAACCTATCCCTTACACAGAGAAGCAAAAAAGAAACCAGGCTATATTTGTGCCCATTTAATCAAACAAACTCTTAACATCCTGCCCAAGACCTCAGGCCTCAAATTCCAAGATAATTCTCCAACTGTTAAATAAGTGATTTCTATGGATCCCTTTGAGGTAGAAAACACATTTGTCACTACTGCTTATTTTCTAAATCCCTTTGATATCCTAAAGTATGACCATCATAACTAACATGTTAAACAATCATTAGGAAGCAAAGTTTCTGATTATCATAATACGTAATGCCATATTTCATGCTTCAAATCTAAAGGAATCTATTGTCTCTTTTAAGATAGGACTTAAGTGTCTAAAGCAAGGGTCTGTAAGCAGGCCAAATGTGGTCTGCCACCTGTTTTTGTAAATAAAATTTTATGGGAACACAGCCACACCTGTACATTTACATTTTGTCTGTGGTGATCTTTGCAAGTCACAATGACACAGTTGAGTAGTGGCAACAGAGACCGTAAGACCCACAAGTATAAAATGTTTATAGCTGGACTTTTAAGAAAACATTTGCTGACCTCTGGTCTAAAAAACCAGCTACTTCAGTAGACTGTCTTAAAATAAGAAATGCGAATTCTGGTTTAGTCATGTTGCCAGATAACTACCTAAGTCACTTAATCTTTAACTGCTTTAATTTTTTCATTTATGATACACTAATTGCAATATTTGTTGGGAACTTACATACCAGGCAATATTCTAAGAGCTTTACTCTTAGTAAATAAACAACAAATTCGTTCATTTAATTCTGACAAAACCCTAGGAAAGAAGTAAATTATTTCCATCTTCTAAATGAGAAAATCAAGGCAGAGGGGTTAAATAACTTGCCCAATGTTAAGTAGTGGAGAAATCAGGACCAGAACCCAGGCAGTACAGTTCCAGAGCTCATTTCTTAATCTTTATGCTATGTTGATAATACTTTCCATTTTATAAATTATATAAAGTAAAAGATAATCTCAAAAGGTCTGTTATGTTAGGTAAATCCAGTAAAATATACCTCTGCACAATTTAGGTTAAGATACCTAAAATAAGACTATACACAGACTTCCACAGACTTTTACGACCCTTGTAAGGTTAAAGCTAATCTTGGGGTATTGGGAATATAAAAGCCTGTGGATATCATATTCTTTATTTTTTATCATAAGTAATCAAAGAAAATAACTGACCAAAGTCTATCTTTTCCTTGGTAAGGAAGGCCTGTCCAAGAAGTTCAGGTCCTTCAGAAAGGCTTCAGGATGAAGACTTAGCAAAGAGACCTTAAATCTTCCAAGTTTATTCTCATCTAGTGTTATATCCACCAAGTTTCCATCTGAGAAAACACTGAGTAAGTGTCAACAGAAATTACGGAAAGATCGTTCTCATAGCCTGGCAAAAAGAGCTCTAACCAGCCACAGTCATCACATGGTCAGGAAGATGCCTGCTTGCTGAATCATCCCCACCACTTCCTGAAGTTCTCTGGGATTTGGAGAGGAAATGTGTCACCTAAATGTGACCCAGTGCCCTTTTGTACTGAAAGGTAGATTTATATGGTTCCAAATAAATAGAGAGAAAATACAGCACTAAATTACTCATCACCAATTCATGTGCAGAGATGCCCTTAACCTTTTTGTTGCTGTTTTGGGTTTTTTCTCTTTTCTTTTTTTTAAGAGACAGGGTCTCACTTTGTCACCCAGGCTGCAGTGCAGTGGTACAATCACAGCTCACTACCTCCTGGAAAGCCTGGGCTCCAGCAATCCTCTTGCTTCAGTATCCCAAGTAGCTAGGAATATAGGTGTGCAGGCTTGACTAATTTATTACTTTATTTTTTTGTAGTGATAGGCTCTTACTCTGCAGCTTAAGCTGGTCTCTAACTCCTGGTTTCAAGTAGTCCTACCACCTCAGCCTCCAAAAGTGCTGGGATTACAGGCATGGCTCCCTGCACCTGGCCTTCAACCTTCGTTTTAATCACGCTCGTCTCCAACTGGTTTTTAGTATCTGCAGAGTAAAGTCTAAAGCCTTGAGTTTGACATTAAAGACCCTCCGCATCTTGTCTTTCCAGCTTTTCCAATCTTATCTCCTTCTATTTTTGGTCTTCATGCCTCCAGGATGGCCTGCTTTCTCTTCAGTGTATCATGTCTACATCTGTTTCTGAAGCCATACTCATTCTGTAACCTTTGTTAAAAACCCTAT